AGGAGGCAGACTCCGGCCTAGAACCTCCCCGCCTCCTGCAGGCATTTCTCTCCACGAAGCGCCGGCCCACCCAGCCCCACCCTGGCAGAGAAGAACAGATCTATCCCCGGTACACCAGGTCCTGGAGAAGCCCAGCAGCTGGACTGGGTTTCCCTTCCTGACCCTTTCCTCCCGCGGTGATCCGCTAAAGAGGATTTGTGGTTCGGCCTAGAGGGTCCCTGCATCTTTTCCTTGGGTAGATCTCTCCAGGGAGCGACCCAGGCCAGACCTTGTGCTAAGCAGTGGGCCTGCGCCTCCCGCCCAGGGCTCACCAGTAATGACACTGCTGTCCACACCCGCCTGAGACTTGGTTCTCAGCATGCTCAGCGGTTAGCACCTATCTAGAACCACACCTGTGCAAAGCCAGTTTCATGTGGGTTATCTCCATTAATTTTTCAAAGCCAAGGGGATTGGTATATGAGTGTTTATAAATACTGACCGATTTTACATTTCCTATTTGGGCGCTTTATTGTAGGTTTAAATATATATATGGGCTGGAGAGGTGGCTCAGCGGTTAAGGGCACTGACTGTTCTTGCAGAGGATCCGGGTTCAATTCCCAGCACCCACATGAAGGCTACAAACCATCCTTAACTCCAGTTCCAGGGGAATCTGAAGCCTTCTTCTGCCCTCTGCAGCATTGCATGACACGGGTGCACTCACATACATGCAGGTGATACACTCACACACACAAAATAAAAATAATAAATAAAATAAAGTTATATATATATATATATATCTGAGAGGCCTTATAAGCATACACAAGGAGGAAAGTGAGGTTCAGAGGACTCTCAGTCAATGCTGTTTGTGGTGTTGGCTCTGAGATTAGAAAGAGGCAGTTTACTTCTAAATCCATCTTCTTGACTCCTTAAGATAAGGCTCTGCAGGAATCTGATCTAATTGGCCAGTTAGAATCTATTCTACTTCTGCCACCAGAGTTGCGTACACACCTCCCTAGTCTAGTGTGGCACAAGTCACTGGGAATGGTATATATACACAGCTTCAGGGAGGCTCAGGAGGGTTCCAGCCAGAAGGGAGTTCTGAAATCAGATTTTACTCTTTTAACATAGAGCTCAGCCAGCAGAGTCCAGAGAGACAACTTATCCACTCAAAGGCTCTTGGGTAAGAAGGCCCTGGGAGAATTTTATAATTCCTCTAAGCTCGCAGGACAGTTTTGTGAAGAAGCAGTTTGGTCCTGGGAAAATTTCTCTTGGCGAGGGAGCTGAACTAAGATGTAGTTGTGTTGGTCAAAGAATTTTACAGGCTGATGTCCCTGGCTCTGGAACCCCAGCAATGACCAGTACGGAAATCCTTCAACAAAGTGATGGAAGCTATTTATATTCAGAGTCTATGGACTCCAGGAGTGGGGCAGAAGGCTGGGAGGGGATGGTCCAGGCTGGTTTTAAGTATCATAAGGCACGCAAACCTTGAGGAAGCCAGTCCATAGGCCCAGCTGTGTTTCCTCTAGGAGGGCCCGATCCTCTTCCAGAATAGAAGAGGATGCAGAATGAAGGAAGGCTAACTGGCTGGGAGGAAGCCGGGCAGGGAAGGTGAGGACCTGGTGCTGGGAGCACGAAGAGGCCACAGTCAAGCAGGATGCAGGACTGGGTTGGGGGAAAAAAAAAAAAAAAAAGGAGTTGCTTATTTAGGAAACCCCAGTGGAGCAAGGCTGGCTGATCCTAGAGACTTCATCTCCTATTGCACAGGCACTAAAGTTCCATCATGGCGGTGAGCTGGCTGACCTCTCTCATCCACGGTTCTCAGCAGCGCCTAGTGAATGTAGGGAAACTCAATGATATGCCAGACCTTGCTCTTCCTTATCTTCAAGTTCTCCCAATCCTCCGACTTTGTGTCCTGGTGTAAAACCATCACCACATTCTGAGCTTCTTTGCCTACGTTTTGAGCTGTAGGGAGAAGTGTGATACATGGGGTGGGGGGTGCTCCCCAGGCAGTGCCTTCATGTATGGAAGTCAGGGCCTAGCCTGGGGTTGGCATGGGTTGTCAGGTATCCTGCTTAGGCCCAGGTGAGTCAAGAGCCCCCCCTCTGTATTTCCCTCACAGCCAACAACAAGGTCACAGCTTGACAGCACAAGGGCTGCGTGGTTCCGGAGCTCCAGGGAAGGAGTTGATGAAGGAGCCTATGGGATCACCATAGCCCCCATGACATTCCTACTATAACATCTATCTCAAAGAGAAAAGATGTCAACCTGGCTCTCTATGACCTTATGTGGAGAGAGAGCATCAATAAATCTTTACACCACACTATGTTATGACATTGGAAAGTACCTAAGACTTTGGTGACACAAATGAGGGTGATTACCTCCATTTGAGGGGTTCAGGAAAGAAGTTTGGCTTTGAAGCAAGAGTTTACCAGAAAGATGAGGGTGGAAGATGTCCCAGACCAGGAAAAGGAATTGCAGAGGTTGGAAGGCTGAGATAGCACTGCCGTTTGGACAATCTTCTCCTTTTTCTCCTCCTCCTCCTCCTCCTCCTCCTCCTCCTCCTGGCATCAACTTAAATGTAGTCTTTCCATGACCACCTATCTCAAAGAACTCCAAGGCCCAGAATTTTATTTCCACTTTAAATTTTACCTACTTAAAAAACAAACAGCTGGGCGGGCATGGCATTGCAGGCCTTTAATCCCAGCACTCGGGAGGCAGAGGCAGGCAGATCTCTGTGAGTTCAAGGCCAGCCTAGTCTACATAGTGGGTTCCAGGACAGCTGGGGCTACAGGGAGACCCTGTCTCCAAAAAAAAAAAACAAACCTCCAAAAAAACAAAACAAAAAAACATTTATTTGGTTGTTCTCATACCCCATCAGTCCATCTACCATACCAGAAAATGAATTCCAGGAATCAACTGGAATCACTGGTTCCCAACCATCTCCATTTCCAGCATCCAGAACAGGGCAAATAAACATATACTAGGTTCTAGGTGTACATAGTTGAATCAATGACTGACTGAATAAATCTCCACAGCTGATAAGAAAATGAATTCCTTCTCCAGCCCTAGCTTAAGAAACCCACGGCTAGGGGCTGGAGAGATGGCTCAGAGGTTAAGAGCACTGACTGCTCCTGCAGAGGACCCACGTTGGATTCTCAGTACCCACAAGTCTGCTAACAAACGCCTGTAACTCCAGTTCCAGGCTATCTGACGCCTGCTTCTAATCTCTGGCGGCAGCATTGCACGCCACGGGTTACAAACAAGCAGTCAATACATAAAAATAAAAGAATAAAACATTATATGTATATATAGGGGCTGGAGAGATGGCTCAGTGGTTAAGTGGTTGTCCTGTTTGAATTCCAGCACCCACGTGGCAGCTAACAACTGTCTCTAACTCCAGTCTCAGGGGATCCGACAGCCTCTTCTGAGCTCCGTGGGCATTGCATGACATAGGTGCACTTACCTACATGCAGGCAATACACACATACACATAAAATAAAAATAAGAAATAAAAAAAATTTGTCTTTTTTAAAAAACCTTTAAAAATTATATGTGTATATATAAAGAAACCCATGACTAAATGACCCCAGGACAGGGAACTCTGTGAGAAGGGGGCTTGGAGCATCTCGGTTTGATGGCAGTCCCACAGCATCTTAGGATCAAATGGGCTGGGGGGTCCAGGAGTCTGATTACATTAGCTCACACCCAGTTCTGGGGTGGTTGTTCTTCCTACAGAGGAGGCAGGATCTTCTCTTACCGCCCTCCTCCCCCCTTCTTCACCAGCCTCCCTCTAGGCCTTCTGGGATGAGTCCGAGGGCATCCTGGGCGGTCAGAGGTTTTCCGAGGGCTATCTAACCTGCCTGCCTCGCTCCCTTTCTCTTTTTAATTCCTGCTCCTCTTGTCTCTCCAGCTCCTCAGCCTGTGGCCACGCAGCAGCCCAACAGCCCCCCACCCCCTCCAGTAAGGGCGAAATTGCTAAACTTGTAGCAATAATGACCCTGCATTCAGGCCTCCGACTCCCGCTGAACGTCTCGGCGCCCAGGCCCGCCCGGCCTAATCAGCGCCCCTCCCTGCTGCCCGCCCAGCCCCCGGCCCCCCGGCCGCCCCTTCCCCCAGCACACAAAAAGTGGGGAACAAAACCCCCGCGCATTTCTCCGTCCCTCTGTTGAGCAGACTGCTGCACAATGCCCCCGCTCTGAGAAGCAATGGGGCGCTGGGGGGGACGTCAATCCGACGCGCTGGGGTTTTTGTTCGCGCAGGGGACTTCGCCTTCCTACCACACCTTTTGTTCGGGACTCCAATAAAAAGCCATTCTTTCCGCACCTTCCCGGCCCGAAGCCGCCTTTCAGCGAGGCCCGGCCCCACAATGGCGCGGCGCTCTGAGGCCTCCCCATTCACCCGCCTTGGCACGCTCACAATCGGCCGTGTGGCAGCACAGGCCTCGCGCAGGCATTCTCCGCAAGTGACAAGGAGCCGCATAAAGCCGCGGCCGCCGGGGGAGAAGGGAGGGCGGCCGAGGGGGAGAGCTCGGCCGCGGCGGGGCGCAGCGCAGCATCCCCCGGGCGCACTGGAAGCCCTGGCGGCGGCCGAGGAACGAGCCGCCTTAGAGCCGCCCTAGACTGGGCCTGAAGGCCAGGTTTTCTTCTTCCCTGGAGACCCTCCAGGTCGGGCAGAGTCTTTAGACCGAGGCAGGTCCACGCACCTATCCGTGCATCTGGGTAAAGTTTGGGGATATCACAAAGCCTGGGATCTCAAAAGACCTTGAAGGCTCCTGTGCCCACATCAGTAAAGGTTCTGCCCTCATCAGTAAAGAGAAATTAATGAACAAAGCCAGGGAGAGACCAGACTTGCACCCTGGGGCCTGGCTGAGGGGCACCAAGCCATGATGCCCTGCATAGACTACTTTCCTTACATGCCTTTTTCCTCCATTCTTGCCCAACTTAAAGGAGCGTCCCACCCCACTCTTTTGGGCTAAACAAAGTCTGCAGCAGGCCAACAGTTTAGAAATATTGCACCTTGTTTATTGACTCCTGTAGTGTAAGACAGCGGGTGTGTACACGGCGCGTGGATACAGTTATATAGAGAGATAATGTGTGCTGAATACAGAATACAAAACAGAAAGGGCACCTGGAGACACCTAAGCAGGGCCACCAGGTCTTGGATTTGCTGGGCTCCCTACCTCCCCCAACTTCTGATCTCCCTGCGCTGGTTGTCCTCGGAGTCTCCAGGCCTCTGACCCTCCAGAGATCCCGGCTGAGTCTTTCGCCTTGGGGAGGCGGTTGGAAAATGGAAATTGTGGTGTGGCGCTCCGGGTTGGCAAAGGGGGGACAGCGGATCGGTAGAATTTCCCAAGCCACTACCCCAATTTCTCTCTTCTTCATGCTCTTTTCTCTTTTTCTTTCTTTCTTTTTTGGTCCAGGTTCCCCGCCAACGCTTCGCGGAGGCCACGGGAAGGCCGAAGGAGAGAAGCCCTTGGGAGAGGACTAGACAGCCAGAGTCCCAGCCTCCCGCTCCTCTCCGCGCTAAGGTGGGAGGCCATCCTCCTCCCTGGCGCCCAGCTGTGTTTCTGTCTCAGACAGTCTGGGCGATTGGACCCGAGCATCCTTCTCTCTCCTGAGCCCCATCCCCCAGGCCTAGAGTGTGCAGCGCCCCTGCGCCCTGGGATGCGATGCTTGTGTATTTTATTTTAACGAGGGGACCTGGCCCTCGGGTCTGGCCCTTCTCGCGCTTCATTCCTGCGGCGCCAAGCTGCGGTAGGACGCCCGCCGCGTGACCCTCCCTGTCCTCACCAGGCCCGGATGCCCTGCAAGGTGCCCTGTGCACACGCGGCCCCGGCTGCTGCACCTTGGTGCAAGGGCTGTGCGCCGCCGCCGCCTCCAAAGCCTCCAAGATTGCTCACGTTCACAAAGGATCCGCCTCCGGTCGCGCTGCAGGCGGGCTGCATGGCAGTGGCTGCGGCAGAGGCCCCGCCGCCGCTGCCGCCGCCGCCGCCCGTAGGGTACGCGCAGCCGTAGCCGCCACTGTAGGCCGCGGCCGCTGCGGCGGCTGCGGCCGCGGCTGCGGCGGCGGCGGGCGAGTTCCCATAGCCGTAGGCGGGGAAGCTGTTGTAGGAATAGGCACCGGCGCCGTAGGGCGCGCCGTAGGCCTGCGCGCTGGGCGTCACGCACGGTTTGCCATCCCGCACCAGCACCGGGACTGCCACGCGGCGCGGCGGCGGCGGCGGGGCATGCGTCCCCAGCTCCAGAGACTTGTCCTGCCGCTGTCTCTTGCACTTGTACCTGCGATTCTGGAACCAGATTTTCACCTGCGTGGACGTGAGCTTCAGGCTGCTGGCGAGATGCTCGCGCTCCGGCGCCGACAGGTACCGCTGCTGCTTGAACCTGCGTTCCAGCTCGAAGACCTGGGCTTGCGAGAAGAGGACTCGGGGCTTCCGGCGGCTGCGTGGCTTGGGCCTCTCGCTGTCCTCAGTCACCTTGCAGTCTTCCGCCGCCTCCAGAGACTTCTTCAGCTGGCAGCTTTCTGCCGGAGAAGCAAAACAACAGCGCCCATTAGCTGCTCCTAGCTCGCGGTACCCCACCCCACCCCCTTGGGTGGACGCGCGAAGCACTAGATAATAAATGCCTGGATTTGGTGAAAGTTTGAGGCTCCTGGTGTCCCAGGACCCTGAGACAGACTGAACACCTATAGAACGCCCTCAGCGGTGTGTCGCATTCCGTGGGAGTAGTTAGCTGGCATTTATTAAAACAGGAGCATCTGTGAGAGGAGAGATTGTCCTATGTTAAGTGTGTGGCTCCAGGAGCTAATGACTATTTTCAGGATCAAAGCTTGCGACTGCATAATAGCTACAGTATTTGCAAACTCGTTTGCCTTTCCACTCACCATGGATAACTGAAGGTGTCCAACCTGTTGGTTTGGGGGGAAGGGGACCGGTGTGCATGGTTTTTTTGTGAAAAGTTTTGTGTTCAGTAATGTCCAAGTGTGAGGCGTATGCATAGTCCAGGAACTTCTTTTTAAATTTTGTTTTCTTATAAAAAAGCTAAGTGGAAATATATGCCTGACAATGTTTGTAAATTACCTCAGAGAAGTTTGAGAGACTGGTTTAAACAGTTTCCGGTCAATTTTAGACCTGAGGAACTGTCAAAATAGGCCTTGGACTCAGCCACATCAAACTTCCACTTGGGCAAGAAATTCTTGGATTCTGTCCGCCTTCCAGACACTTCTTTGGGGCCTTATCCACCTAATCCACCTCTGGTCGACTGAGCGGCCAGGATCTCGCACTTTCCCTATTGGGCCTGCAGTCTGAGACACAAAGCAAAACGTTAGGTTTTCTCTTTTTTCTTTCAAGGCTATGAAAGCTGTGGTCATCTGGAATGGATGTTGTTTTCACACACTCAGCGACCATCCCCTCTCCTTTCCCAGTGAGCGTAAGAACACTGAGCTCCAAGCTCAGAAGTAACCTGCTCACTTTGCCTTTTCAAAGAGGGGATAGCTGCCCTGGCCTTGGAGAACTCATCTTACATTAGAAAGAAGGCAGAAATATGGCCTGACCACTGACCCTTTTTTGAGAGAGAGAACGAAAGAAAGAACAGAAAACAGTCACTGAATCACTGGAAGGTGTTTGGCAGCTGGGCCCTTATCACTTCTCAGAACCAGGGCAGCAGTAACTACCTTCCCTTCACTCCGGGGTCGCATCGACGCCGGCTCTGGGAAAGAGTAGTTGTCAGGATCACCGCTCTTTCCCCTTCTGCTCCCCCCTCCCTCGCTCCCTGTCAGGTACCTGTGTTTTCCAAAGTTGTTCTTGAACCCAGGGGAGAAGACCCTAACCAAAGGTGAAAGGGTCAGGTAGCCGTGCTGGCAAGGTTGTGGGTTGTGTACCGGAGTGGAGCCATAGCTCCAGGAGCACGGGTGAGTCTCCTTCCCCCTGTACTCACTTTGGCTCCGGTCCCTCACGACCTCCTCCTCCTGTTCTTTGGGCCCGCTGCAGGAGTCTCGAAGGACTGTATGGGCATAGCTCTGGGGACAGAGACCTGAATCTCCGTGGCCATCCGCAGCAGCTAGTGAGTTCAAATAAGACAGTTTCTCTCCCTCTTCTTCTTCGTCCTCCTCCCCTGCATCAGAAAATTGTGTCCCCTCAGCTGCGGCCAGCATACAGGGCGCCGGGTGGAAGTGTTCCAAATCCGCCTGCAAGTGAGCTCCGTGGAAGTGCTGCTGCTCCAGATTCAAAATGTCTTTGACTGAGAAAGGGGTGGAGGTGACCGGGCTTGGTAACATCATCAGGGCCACTTAATTGTCCAGTCCAAATACTCAATAAATCCCGGCGGGGGCGGGGAGGCAGTGCGGCGGCTCCAGCTCTTCTTCTGGACTCGGCAGGGCTGCACAGTCGAGGTTTTGACAGACGCGGTCTTGCTCCAGTCTAAATCGCCTCCATTGGCCGGGACCTGGGGGTCTGGGTTTTGTTACAGCCACTGCAGGGACTGGGACCGCGGCTGCAAAGCCTCTGTCCGGGGGCCCTGCGTCATGTCGAGGGGCGGGGTCGGCATCCTGACCTCCTTCTTCATTGGTTCTGGCTTATATGGGTCACGCCCTCCGCGTCCACCCTGTAGGATGTTGCTGCATTACCAGAAAAAGACTAGGAGTAGTGGTTTAGGGTCTTGAGGTCCAAGTCGCTGTGGGAGAGCCTGCATTGATCCGGGTGTCCGAATCAACGATTCCCTTTCCACCTGGCCGCACCTTCCCGACCTGGGGGCAGTTCTGAGAGGCTCAGTGTCCATGAACCAACACGCTGGAAGGATGCCACAGGACTGTGGTTTTTCCAGCTGCTGCGGTGGCAGGAAAACTTCCTGGCCAGTAAATATCGGACGGGTGGATTCATAAGGAGATGGATTGCTTTGTCTATCGATGTATGAACGACGAGTCAAATTCACCCTGTTTCCTTTGCTCAAGCTGATCTCTCCACATGGAATGTCTTTCCCGCCCTCATCTCCATGAGTGGAAAATTGTTCTTCAAGGCTCTACTCAAATACCACTTCCTCCAAGAAGCGCTGCCAGACGCCCTGCCGAAGTCTGCTTGCAGTTTTGTTAGTAATGTCACTTGTCACTCCATCACCTAGTTCTGTAGCTACGTGTTTGTCTGATTGTCCCGTTAGATTGTGAGTCCTTGCTGGCAGGGTTCAGGCTGCATTTGCCCTTATAGCCCTCGCAGCTGCTGAAAGGGTGATGGCGTTCTTTCTACACTTTGGGGTCCAGTTGCTCTTGCTTTCAGTTCTGGTCGAAGTGTTTGGTCTTGGGTGTTTCTCAGTTTCCTCGTCTGTATGAAGGAGACTAATACCCTCTTTGATGGTTCTTGCTCTGGTTAAATAAGGCTAACTACGCCAGCTGCATAGTGAGGTGTCTACAAATGTTAAGTGCTCAATACGTGTCAACCATGGCTATTCTGTGTCACAGGTGAATGCAGCATACAGGTGAACGCAATAGGTGATTGCAATTGTTGATTGCAATAGGTGCTGATGTGGCTGGAGCACTGCACACACTGGGTAGCTTTCTGGAGTTTTGAGAGCAGGGTCTGTTCTCAGAAGGGAGGAAGCCTAGCTGTGGCTACAGTCCTTTCAGCCTTTTGAAATCTGGAGCTGGAGTCTAGGCCTTGATCTCCCCCCATTGACAAACCCTGGTTGTATTTTGCCAGGAGAATATATGTAGTCTCCTCAGAGATTCTGAAAACTGCCTAGTGGGGACCATCTTTGTACAGAACTGCCCACAGGCTTAGTCCTGTGAGTAGCAGAGGACACAACTGTCAGACTCACAGAAAAGGCACTGGCCTTGGGGGGGGGAGGGAGGGGTACAAGGAGAGATGCTTATGCAACCATTCCTCACCAGGCTGCCCCAAGGTTTTTATTCATTCTTTCTTTCTTTCTCTTTTTTTCTTTCTCTTTCTTTCTTTCTTTCTTCCTTTCTTTTTTCTTCCTTCCTCTTTCTTTCTTTCTTTCTTTCTTTCTTTCTTTCTTTCTTTCTTTCTTTCTCTTCTTTTTCAGTTAGGATGGCAGAGTTGGGAGAGACTGCCTCGGTTGAAAGAGAGCACAGGAAGGTACAGGGACTGAGGAGAAAATCCTGGGAACTTGGCAGACAAGGGGCGAATGGGGATTAGAGTGGCAAGTGTCCTTGCAGAACCCCGCAACTGCGGGAGGAATTGGTGCCCCAGGCCCAGGAAAGAGAAAACAGCGGGTTGGGAGGGGAGAGAGGCGGGGCTCTTCTGGGGGAAAGCAGCGGAAATGTTGCGGGAAGGTAGCGCCTTGGGCCTGGGGAGCTGGGCTGTGGCTCCCGCCACGTGCGATGGGGAAACAGCAACCTGGGGGTGATGGGGAAAGATCTGGTGGGCCCTCGTTCCAGTGCCACGGGAGCACCCAGTGCCTTTCTGCTTGAAGGCGGAGGCTGTTGTCTCCACACCAGGCCCAGAGTCTGCCGAAGGAAGAACGTCCTTGCTTTGCGGCTAATGCCGGGCGCAAAGATCCAGAGAGAGGTGGGGTGAGTGTGCTGCACTGCAGGGTGGGGGGACCCTGAGTGAGTGCGTCACGGTGGCCAGATCCTGTACCAGCAGGAAGCTGCTCCAGACTCAGTCTCACACCCTAAGCCAACCACCGGCCAAAACGATGGTGGAGAAATATTTCTGTTCTTTTCTGGTCTTTAATTTTCTTAGCTTTCAGGGGATTTTAAGACCGAAGAAAAAGACAGTGAAAGAAGATCTCCTTCTTTCCCAGTTTCCCACAGAAGCGTGTCTTCCTTCTTGCTGCTATTTTTCCCCCACCCTCCTAGCTGTGCTTCGCTCTCACTTAAACCGAGTCCCAAGAACTCGTTCTTAGAACCACAGCTAGGTCAAATCGTCACTCCGACGCCCCACATCTCACTGCAGCCCTGGGAGCCCGCCCAAGCTGATGGTGGTCTCCTTCCCACTTTCACGAGGCCTGCTCTCTCCCAAACCCGCTGCCGCAACTACCTGGTCAGGTACCTTCAAAACACACCTGAGCAGTTCTTCCTAGAGGACCCTGACCAAGTTGCTCTTCAGCAGGCTGGGCAGGACTCTTTACTCAGTCGCAGGGCCTATGTCCTGTGAGAAGTCTGATTGTGGGGAGCTCAGTGACCAGGCCTAGCATGCGACATCTATGGCCCATCTACGTTTTGTAGTACCATCTTCATCTCTGTACAAGGCCAATCCAGCGCTCCAGAGACCTCCTCCCAAGGGTTGATTTTTGTTTTGTGCCCAGAGTAGGGGTTTGAGTCATCTTTAGTAGCCCTTTCCAAATTGCCCAGAGCCCATTTAGACTGATTTCCCAGTAGTGGGACGTCCTATCATGGATCCCAGCCAGGCCAATCTCATCGAGGTGGCCTCCTTTCCTCGCGCCCACAGACGACCGACAGTGGGCCTGTGTGCCGCCAGCTGCGCGCTGCTGTGGGGCAGGAAAACTCAAGTGCGGCGTTCTGCAGCGGCTTATCAGAGTGTAGGATCTGGTTCAGCTCGTATCCAATTACTAATAGTACGTTCTGGGGCATTTACATTCTCCTCTCTGAAAAGATCTTAGAAATTGAGCTGTGCTCAATTAATAATAGGTTTTCGTTCCAGATAGTTTAACCAATTATTGTCAGATAAAGTAAATAGGTTTGCATGCATGGGTTTGTTTTAGTCGAATGTGTCTGACTTAGGTCACTTTTGTAAAGTCTTACATTTCCCAAGCTCCTCCCATTGGATATTTGTTTACAGAACTTGGTGAAGCAGTGGTAAATTCTGGGGAGGGGTGTACTTTATAGATGCATATATAATAAATAAAACTATGCCTTAAAAAGCCACTTGTTAGCCATTACAATAAATGCATTATCAAGTGAAAATGTGATATTTTTTGAAAGCTATGAAATGTTTTCTGTGTTATATTCTAACAAGAGCTTACCTCATTTACACATAAAATAGCCATCCATCCAATGGTTTTGGCTTCATCTGTTGATATTTATCCCATTGAATAAATTTATTATGGAACTAAGACCACAGAGAGCTGAAAGGTGCCATGATATTCTAATTTAAATGTGGCACGGCAGTGATTTTTCTGTTCTCTATGAAAATAATGTTGCAATTAACCTAGCTAATCTAAACTCTATAACATTTTAGGTGGCTTTTTAATCGTTTTTTACTGATGTCCTAGAAATTTTATTTTCACTGACATCAAGAAAGAGAAGAAAAAAAAATGAGAAAGATCCCCTTTTTTAGTAGTAGGCACCAAATGGAATTTTGTTAATTTATTGGTGGCAATAGTGGTGTGTGCTACCTTTGGGTTTTTTAGTTTAGTGATGTTTGAAAGCTGCCCAAAATTCCTGAGCAATCTAGAGTTAAAAGTATTTTAATTGTGAGAAGGGTAAATACATTGTTTTTAAATAAATGCCAACTTCATGGCATTTTTCTAGCAATATAATAGAAAGCATTAAACTGATCTCATTTCTTGAGTATGTGTTTCCTTGTTGAAGTAATTTTGTAGGAGGAATTTTTTTTAGTGTGTTGTGAGCATGTAACTTGTTTTGTATATGTGTTTTATTTTTAGATTTTTGTTTGGAACTAATTTTCTAAATAACTCAACATTTCACTTCCCTGCAGTAAAATCACTCCAAATCTAGCAAATTGTGTGGATCTTAGTAAGTTACAAGCCTTTGCTGAGAAAGTGAGTTTCGATTTCTCAGGACAGGACTTTTCACCAATATCCATTCATGTCTGACCCACTCCAAAACTTTTAAAGATAAAAATGTGAATTGAGATTTCCTCACCAAACTCAGCTCCATTATGCTAATAAAACACTGAAGTCAGAAGACTATCTTTGTCCAATGAAAATCAATATTTCTTCAAACAAAAGTTCCTAAAATAAAGGATGCCTGTACCTAGGCATTTATTTGTATCGATGTGCGTGCTATTTGACAGTGTTGTGAACAGTTTTAACTTGAGGATTAAACTGGAATTCGGAACGCATTCCATAGTCGTCGTCTTCTCTTTTTTTCTTTCTTTCTTTTTTTTTTTTTTTAAGCGCGAGCTTAACTTCCTGTAGCTATAACGTCTACAGACCTTTTAAAATATAATCTAATTTCGGGTCGGTGGCTGAAGTTTTTGGCGAATTAATTCATTGCAGCTAGACCAACCGCCTTGCCTATTGAGCGTGGGTCCCTGAGCTATAAAGGGGGAAAGAGGAAGAAAAGCTATTAGTGCGTTCCACGCAGTAGAGATTTTTCCTATCTCTTTCTCCCCAACCTTC